TAGCCCACACCCTTGAGAACCTCACCCTCACCCCACCCCACCCAACTGGTTCATGGACACCGGAGCTTCCCATCACATAACTTCTGATCCAGGTACTTTATCTCATGTATTTACATCAAACATTAATTCTCCCTCGCATATTATTGTTGGTAATGGTTCTAAAGTGAGCACTACTGGTTTTGGTAAGGGCACCCTTCCCACATCCCCTCCCCTCACCCTAAACAATGTCTTAATCTCCCCACATATCATCCATAATCTCATATCTGTCCGTCAATTTGCTCGTGATAATAATTGCACCATTGAATTTGACTCTTGTGGTTTCTCTGTAAAGGACAAATTGACGGGAGCCGTGATTCATCGATCCAATAGTGACGGACCTCTCTAGCCCATCTCCCAAGCGCCCTCCAAAGCCCACCTCAATTCAGCCCAAGTCGATCTCTCCACCTGGCACCAACGACTTGGACATCCCAGCCCTGCTGTTCTCCATGGCGTGTCATCTTCTTTAGCTAGTTTTTCTAAATCAAAATTAGATTTTTTATGTCATGCATGTCAACTAGGCAAACATGTACGCCTACCTTTTCAGTCTTCAAGTCGTATTTCAACTTTTCCATTTCAATTAATGCACACTGATTTATGGCAATCTCCTGTTCCTAGTGTAACTGGTTTTAAATTTTATATGCTTTTATTAGATGACTTTTCTCATTACTTATGGATTTTTCCCCTTCACCACAAATCTGATGCTTACTCTCATATTGTTAAATTCCATGCTTTTGTTAAAAATCAATTTAATACAACCATAAAATCTGTACAATGTGACAATGGCACTGAATATAGAAATAACCCCCTTGCAACCTTTTTTGAATCTCTCGGAATTCTTTTTCGCTTCTCCTGCCCTTACACGAGCCAACAGAATGGCCGCGCAGAACGCATTATCCGCACAATCAACAACACTGTCCGCACTCTTCTCTTTCAAGCTAACCTTCCTCCTCACTTCTGGGTAGAAGCCCTCTACATGGCTACTCATCTCTTCAATATTCTCCCCACCACCACCCTTAACAATCGCACCCCGCATGAAGTTCTGTATTGCACCCCCCCACCCTACTCACATCTTCGCGTCTTCGGCTGTCTCTGTTACCCCAACCTCTCTGCCACTGCCCCCCACAAACTAGCCCCGCGTTCTGCTCGGTGCATTTTTCTTGGTTACCCAGAAGCACAACGTGGCTATCGCTGCCTCGACCTCACCACCCATAAGATCATCATCTCCCGCCATGTCACCTTCGATGAGTTATGTTTTCCCTACGCCCCTCAATCCTCTCCTTCCGCATATGATTTTCTCGACGACATGGAGGACA